ATGAGCAGGCTGAGAAGGATATAGACTACAAAATCATGTTGCATTGGGCCTCCCAGGCCCAGTCCTTCAATCGGCAACGGCATCACATTGGCATGAGCTTGCTGTCTCGTGAGGCAGCTGCAGACCTTCCCATGGAGGTCCTGGAGTCACAGTGCATAGACGAAGGGCCGGATGAGCCACCAACGCCGGACGATGTTCTGGATTCCCGAGGTGAAGCTATGGGTCCTTTGCCGCCGAACAATGCAGCTGCAGAGGCCGATGATTCGATTGCACCTCCGCCCGTTGTTGCTACTCGCAAAAGACGTAAGACTGCCCCTGAAGCAAAAGCAAAAGCAGCAGCGGCGCCTGTCGCTGCACCTGAAGATGCGAGTGCCGCTTCTTCTTCCGAGGACTCAGACTCAGACAGCTCAGGCGGCTCAGGTTCCCGGTCCGGGCATTCAAGCCGTTCAAGCAGCAGTAGCTCTTCAAGCAGCAGTGGAAGCAGCGGCAGCTGAGAAAGCTCATCGGTCAGTCTGTTGAAATCGTTTGCTTTCAAATGTGTGCCACATTGGATGGAAGAAATGTTGCACCGCTTTCAACTTTGTAGCCGGACCTGGACTTGTAAGGTTCCTGGTTGTATTGCCCCATGCATAAACCACTTCCTTTATGTAAGAGACTAGGTATTTTAGTTATGTTATAGTCCAGGAGTAATACTATTATATTGGGGATCCTAAGTGGTGCACATTTCCAACATCCGCATCGAGTCATTGAGTCGTCTGTGCTTGTAGGTGCCCACAACTGTAACTGCCGTAATACCACAGGCCTCCAGATCCCAGCTTGAGGGCTCTTGTTGTGCAGACATATAGCAGCGGTGCTTTGGAGTGTCGGGGTAGGGGTTTGAGGGTGCCTGGGTTTGGGGTTGTGCGTAGGATGTTTGTGGCAGCGTTTGCGTTGGGCTTGGGAAAGGTTTCTGGTTTCCTGGCTTCTTTCTGAGGGAGTCAGTGTAGCGAGTCTCCAAACAGCAGAAAACCTCGACAACCCCAGCTAGACTTTAAACCCTATGACCCGAGTCTTATGAATCAACTTGAACTCCTGAAGCATAGTGCCTAAACTTCGAAGGCCTCGAGCAAGGCTTGGAAACTCTGACCCCGCCGTCTCAGCACCTAAACTCGAAGCAAGAAAGCCGAAGCCTGGATCACCAAACATATTCCATCCTTGCACACACAGCCCGAAAGGGTAGATATGTTGCAAGAAGCGCAATGATAGAGCGAGAGGCGGTGCCTGGTTCTTTTCTCTAGTGATATCACCAGACCATAAACGTCTTCCAACATCAGACCTGCGAGCAACGTACAGAAGTGAGCTTCCTAAGTCATGGAGGCCATGCTGTGGGTTGTATGTCTGTGGACTTTGCCTTTTGTGTGGCCAACCAGAGGTGCGACTCCAGCCTTCGAAAACCTGGTTCATTTTTGGCAGGGTTTGGGCTGCTTTTGCAGTGGTTTCGATAGTTTGGTGTCGGTCCGACCGCTTTCTGCCAAATGCTGCAATTTGGGATGGTCTTGCTGCTGGGTTGGTTGGGGCTGGCTCAGGATGGCTTGGGGTGTGACCCACGGCGGGCCTGCTCGACCTGCTCGCCCTTTGCTCGACCGTTGCTCGACCCTGGGCCCTGGGCTGCTCGACCTGCTCGCCCTTTGCTCGACCGTTGCTCGACCCTGGGCCCTGGGCTGCTCGACCTGCTCGCCCGTTGCTCGACCGTTGCTCGACCCCTGCGTGCCCCTGCTTTTTGCGCCCCGTGTTCAGTGTGTTTCGTTGCCACCTCTGCTGACAGCTTGGGGCGGGGCGGGTGCTCGATTGAGAGCCAAGTGGCTCCAAAGCGTTGCGTGGATCCTGTTTTCGCCCAGAACTGAGGGTTTGCTGTAGGAACCAAGCAGGGAATGATGTTTCTTTCTGTGGAATTCCAGGATTCCAGGCTGGTTTGACGTGGGTTCGTAGATAGGTGTATCTTTGCTAAATTTTCCGTTGCTGCTCGGAGCATCGAAGAAGTAAAGTAGCGGCTGCTCAAAAAGCATTCGAAACAACGTGTGATCGGAGTGCAAGATGTGCGAAAAGTTTGATCCAACATGCATGTTACTGGAACTGTTTTGTTGAGCATGCTTGTTGATGCTCCGACGTTTAGGTCCGAGCAAAGCGGGAGCATTTTTGATCTAACATACAATGGGTTATAGCCATCCAAAACGGGAGCATTCTTGATCTAACATACAATGGGTTATAGCCATCCTGAAGTTTAGGATGGCTATAACCCATTGTATGTTAGATCAAAAATGCTCCCGCTTTGCTCGGAGCATCGAAGAAGTAGCAGCTGCTCAAAACACTGGCACTCGAAGCCTTTTGCTTTGGAAAGAAGCAGAAGCTGTGTGAAGCCAGGTTTTCGAAGGAGGCCTTTAAGCGGCTTTATCGTTGTGTCTTTTCTTTGGTGGTGCTCCTGAACTTAGGGTCTTGCCTCAAAAGCTTTCTGTCTGCCTTGCAGTCGACGCATGCACCTCAGCAGGGCCGCAGCCAGCGATGCAGAGTCGATGATACATGTCATGTGATAGACATGTCATCTATAGGGAAGGGTTTCTCTTATCGCTGAAAGGTTTGTGTAGTAGAGTGCGATGATGTTATACAGTTATGCCATACATTCGATATGCTGCATCTGGTTCATTGCATCGCTTTCACTAAGCGAGTGTGGAGATGCAAGCCGATGTCGGCTTGAGCTCGGATGTCGATGGGGAATGCTTGCTGACTCCATCAAGACGAAAGCGGCCCAGGCAATTCCTGCATGAGGTTTCATGCTTGAGCTCTGTCCGTCACATGTGGTGACTGCGGTGTTCTGGTTGCAGGTTCGAGAACTTACCTGGCACACCGGAGCGTCTTCGTGCAAGTGATGTCGATGCAGATTCAGCTTTGGGGCCTGGGAGTTTTGAAGACGTCATGCATTGGGCCCAGAAGTTATTGCGATCTTGCCTTGCAATGCTATCGGGGCAAGGGGTTGACACTGTAGCAGTGCTAGATGGCATATCCCAGAAGGCTCTTCAGATCACTACATCCTACAGTGGAATAGGTGTGGCCGAGACCTCCTTGGGTTTCCTGAGAGATGCTTTGGAAGCACAGGGATGTCAGCTGCACTATGTGTTGCATGCTGCGACAGACATAGACCAGCGTTGCCGCGAGATGCTCTGCAGTCATCGACAAAGCAGCCGCAGCAAGCACGTGTTTGGTGATTTGCTTGCCAAGCTGCCTGACTCGCTAGTGGAGGAGCTGCGGCAACTGCAGGCAAGGTACAAGGAAAAGTTCGATGCTGCTACATCGTGCCAGATGCATGACGAGGCAGGTGGCAGCGGCAGTCGAAAGGATGCGATCATGAAGTTTGGACGTGGCTTCGTAGTGCATGCACTGAAGCTTCTTGAGAATGCGAGGTACACTCGTAGTTCCACATGCTACTGTTACAGGCACCATGACCAGTGTGCTCTTTGGCCAGCAGACGATGCCTCGAACCTTCATGTGGAGATCGCAGGAAACACATGCACCCCCTGGTCGTCATCAGGCAAGTGTCTTGGTTGGCTGGACCCTGCAAGCATACCGTGCATTGCCTGGCTTCATAGCATGCGACAAGTGAGCCCCTCCATCCTGATCAACGAGTGTACCCCAACTTTTGATGTCGAGATTTTGCGGCGTGTGTTCCAGGACACTCACCACTTCGCATCCCACGTGTTTGGTCCCACAACCATGGGCATACCATGCAACCGGGATCGCCGCTACACCATCCTGGTGAGAAAGGACAGGTGCCGAGACCTTGGCATCTTGAAAGAATCGCGATTTATGGAGCTGATCTCGGCACGTCTTGTAGCTTCGGGTGACATGTTCTTGAGAGCAGATCCAGAGTCCATTGCAGCCCACATCAACCTCTTGGCTGGGAAGAGAGGCTTGCCGCCTGCCCAGGATGGCTCGCATCTGCCTGCGTCGGCTGTGCTGAGCCCGTGGCTAAAGCATCAGCTAGCCAAATATCATGACGTCATTCAGCAGTCGCAAAGGTTTGCTGGAAGGCAGGATGTCTTTGTGGACCTTTCCCAGGATGCGTTGCAGCGTCCCAGGGTTCACGAGGTTATTCCGTGCTTGTTACGAAAGTCGTATTTGTGGTCCATGCAGGCCAGAAGACCTTTGCTTCCTATGGAGATTCTAGCAGTGCAGTGCTTGCCTGTCATGTTACCGGCAGGCAACAAGTATTCCCGTCTGAATGCTTGGTCGGATGAGTTCCTGCAAGGTGTTTCCCGAGCCCAAATCCAAACCTTTGCAGGCAACTCGATGGTGTTGCCTGCTGTCGGAAGCGTGCTGTTGACTGCTCTGTTGGCAGCAGTGACATAGGCAAGAGCGGACAATCGTGTCAATTTTCCAGATAGATCTGCTGACACATCGGGAAGATTCACGGACAGTCGTGTGTAATTTCCCTGTACAGGAAACCCAGCTTCAGCAGATGTGCAGATGCCAGACACACAGCAGAGAGAGAGAGAGAGCAGAGAGAAAATCACCACTCCTCCGAGTCTTGTGTGGGAAGCCGGGAGATGCTCTGTTTCTCATGTGACATTCAATTCAAGTTGAGAGTACATTTGTTGCGGGAAACATGCGTAACCAGCTTCATCTTGAAATGTAGCCCGTTGAGATGGTCGTAGCCAGGTTGCTACAATTCAAGCTCAGAGTACACGTGGGGAAGAGATCAGTCCAAACTTGAGAAACGACACACTGGCGATTGATGGTTCTTGAGCCCAAACCACAAGCTCGGCTACCGGCGTGAAAGCGATGCCGGTACTGGAGTCCCGAAACAGGTCCAGTCGCTCAAAACCACGTCTACACACTCTAGCTCATGCTACAATGTTGGCCCACTCCACTACATGTCACCCGAGTCGTGGGATGCACCCAGAGCATGTGTCACTGCCAGGTTTTTGTTCAGGTTGCAGCGGGCTTGTTGCTAGGAGGCGCTTCCTGCCATGCTCGCACGGGGTTTGTCGGAGCTACAGCTTGAGGAAGACATTGATGTTACCGGAGCGAAGCCGGAAGAAGGTGCAGATGCTCCTGCTCCTGCTGTCCCCGAGGCAGCGCCAGAAGATGACACTTCCAAGAAGCCGAAGCCCGCCCCGAAGAAATCCAGCCAACCAAGCAGACACAAAGCCGGAAACTCTAAGGGCACTCGTGTGTGTGCTGCATGTGGGCAGAAAAAGCCAGAGAGCGAGTTCGCCTTGAACCAACGGGTGGACATGAGCTGCAAGCGATTCCTCGATAACATCTACAAGCAAGCAAAGGCTCAGGGACCGCAGGCCCTTGAGTGGTTCGCGGAAACAAAAGCGGACCCCGCCAAATGCAAGAAGATGATCGAAAGCTATGGTGCTGCCTACAAGACCTGGTGCTCCACCGGGAAGCAGGGCAAGGTGAAGTGGTCCCTCGTGCAGTACAAGGAAACACTGGAAGCAGAAACTGGTGTTCAGCTTTCGGAGAATCAGCAGCTCATGTGGGAACGACAGGCGGTACTTTTCTCCCAAAGCATTGCCGGCGGCGCCTATACGGAAGAGGAGGCCCAGGCAAAGTGGGATAGTCTGTCCGCCAAGGTGAAGGAAGGCACAGTGATCTCGGACCTCAAAGGCCCCGCGAAAAAGCCACTTCGCATAGCCATCACCCGCGAAGATATGGTGTACAATTTCAATAAGATTGCCAAGAAACGCTCTTTGGAGTTCCAGGACAAGGCCCAGAAGAAAATGGATGAAGCCGGCATTCAGAAGCAGCTCAAACGTGTCATGAGCAATCACGACTCGGTTGGAGGCTCCGCACTCCCCCAATCATCCGAGGAGATGGCACAGCTCATGGTTAGCGGAGGAGCGGGGGCTGCCTTCGATGCAGCCAACATACAAGTTGGGGATGTTCGCAACCTCCTGCCGGAGGAGATGGATGTCGATGCGAAGGGCGAGGCCAACGACGAGGACAAGGAGAAGCCGGCTGTGGATGACGAGGAGAGTGGAGATGATGACAAGAAGCGACCGAAGTGGTTTGACAAGGATCGTGCCATCAATACCGCGCAAAGGTTTTTGCTTGCCCAAGAGAAGAAGTTGAAGGAGACGTATGACCAGCGTGTCGAAGGCCTGACCTCTCACTTGGAGCACATCCGGGGATTGGATGCCGAGGACCGGGGGCATTACAAGGGCGAAGAGAAAATCGCTACGGTGAGGTTGCAGTTCCTCCAGGCCCTCGATGGAAAGGCATCCGACCTCAGCGACTTGATCGAGTCATTCACATCGACGGCTTCGCCAACCAAGGGCGTTGGCGCCGGTTCTTTGGGGACCGACGACGGCGGCAGCCTTGCTGCCGTGGTTGCCTTGGGGAATGCACCACCCTGCAGCCAGTTCAAAGAGCTCCAGATCTTTGAAATGCTGTTTATGTGCAAGGATGAACTGCTGTCGTGCGAGACTGCGGATGAGATTGCCGAATGCAAGAAGTCGTTTGCCAAGTTGAAAGCCCCCATTTTGGATTTGTTGGCATCTGCTCAGGCGTGTGGGTTACTAGGGTTTTTGAGCAGGCTTAGTTTTTAAGGGTGGTAGAAGTGTAAGGTTCGGGGTGGGTCGTTGCGGAGGCCGTTCTGAATGACATCAAGAAGGTGCACAAATTGTTGAAGACGGAGAAGGCCAAGGCAGGTCCTGCGACATCCAAGCCGACGAAGCAGGATGCAGCGGCCCCGAAGTTTGCCATCTTCGAGGACGGCTTCAAGCTTGGATCGCCAGCAAATGCCGTGACAGAGGAGACTTTCAAGGATATGTCCTGGGACGAGCCTGCGATCATCACGTTGGCGAATGGTACCATTGCGAACATCTTCAGTGCCCAGGTGAAGCTGGCACTTGGGCAGCTCAAGAAGCTGTTCAAGACGGCCAGCCAAGCTCGTGCTGAGGTCGCCATGGACATGTCTGTCGTGCAGGCCATCTCCAAGGAGTTGCAGAGCAAGCTCGACGGCAAAGGCAGGTTCTATGTCGGTAATGCGGATGCAATCCAAACCAGCAGCAAGGACCTCACCACCTTGTTGCACCGCAACCTGTTGACCACCAGCTATGCCATTGCCGCGAGCAATACGACTTTCGCCACCGAGAAGATGTGTCTGCCTTCCTTTCGGTTTGCCGCCGAGGGAGTACGGCAGGTCGTCCTCCTGCCCTACAGCAAGGTGCTCGAGTACCTGGCTTCGCAGCCGGACAACACATCTTTGAAGTTCATCGATGCACCGTCCAAGCATGCAGTGACTCAGTGGTTGAGGTTTTGCAGTGTGGAGAAACTACAGGGGCTCTTGGGCGCAGGCTGCAAGTTCTTCACTGCGACCGTGAACCCGTCCGAGATCTTGTATGTGCCCGGAGGCTTCGTTTTCGCAGAACAGACCAAAGATTGCTCCTTTGGCATCAAATCACCACTCCTTGTGCACACAGAGGCCACGAAGGCGTTCTTCGAGAAGATGAAAGCCGCAGAGGGCGAGGGCGTCGGCGATCAGTCGAAGTTTGCTGATGGGTTTCTTCAGGCAACAGCCCCTCGCGACAGCAAGGAGCAGCATCCAGCTGCGGAGCAAGCTGCGGGCTGAACCTGTTGCTTGAGCAGCATCCGGCTGCAGAGCAAGCTGCGGGCAGAACCTGTTGCTTGCAAAGGGTTTTCCAGGTATCCCAATGATTGACTGTCAATCATTGGATTCGCATGCATCGCATGCCTGTGATTTTGCTTGTGCTCAATCGAAGTCAAGCTTTCAATCGATCAGTGTACCACTCACTAAGCTTTCAGCCGATTCGCCAGTTGATGCCAAAGGTCTGAGTTGTCGAGCTGGCCAATGTTTCAACCGCAGCAACATAGCAAAACAATCGCAACAACCGCAACACCACCGACCACAACGACCACTACGACCACTGCCACCACCGCCGCCACAAAAACCACCACCGCCACGAACGCCGCCACCGCCACCACCACTGCCGCCACCACAAAAACAATACAACAACACTACGACGACGGCTAGTACTACAGCCGGGGTAACCACAACTACCGCCAACAACCAAAACAACAGCTGCAACGACGACAACAACTGTTACCTGTTCTTGCCTGCTTCTGCTGCTGCTCTTATTATCACTACTGCTACCACTACCACCACCACTACCACTGCTGCCCACTACAAGCCAAAACTGCTATTGACCGAAATCCGAAAGCAACCATTCACGGGCTCCGCCCATTCCGCGCCCCTTCGTGGGCCCCTAGGCTTATACTTGTTGTGTGAGTTCCTCACCGGTCTGAAAGCCCAGCAAACACAGAATTCGTTCGAGATGCAACAGGCAATCTCTGGGGGGTCATTGGACTATGCAATTCCAACCTTATTCGTGTGGCATTTCCGGGGCCTAGGTCGCAAAGTCTTTTCTTTCGAAAGCAAAGCCCGTTTATAGCGCATCATTCTGAACATGCAAGAAGGTTTCCAGGGGCCTGCCGTCACTCATGCCGGTGACAAGTGCAGTTGAACGAACTGAGCTCATTTTGCAACAGGCCTTTCGGAGAGGCCACTGTTTTTTGCATGTCGAGCCCAGTAGCTCAAACATATTCCATCGTGAGATGCACGGTAGTTCCCAGAACAATTCGCCCCCTCTTAGCCCCGCAAGATTTGTCAATCCCACATACAGCATAAACCGAACAGCGTGCCAAGATTTGTCATCGGAAGATCGTTGCTCGGACAGCCCGTTGTGTTTATGTAGGTTTTTTGTGCGTGGTCTGGCTGGCACCCCTTGTGTACTCTCATCTTCGCAGTTCCGGTGCATCGGACCCTTGGGGTGGCCGAATGCCTTCGCAGACGTGGAAGTGTAAACCTTAGTAGCTTCACTTCAAGTGCATGCCAGGGAGTTGCAAGCACTACGTTCTTCTCCACGGCAAGAGCGACACTCTTGAGCAGGTCTTGGAGTCGATCAAGTTTTACGACTCCCACCTGAGGCTCATCAGCTATGATAAGGAGATGGGCAAGACCGCTTGGACTGAAGAGATGGTCGCTGCCTTCGAGAAGGGCAAGGGAAAGGGGAAGAAAGGAAAAGGCAAGGAGAAGGGAAAGGACAAAGGGAAAGACGCAAGCCCTGACAAAGACAAGGGCAAAGGAAAGGGAAAGAAAGGTGAAAAGGGACGCTCGCAGTCCGCCTCGCCTACCAAGGGGAAGTGCTTCAATTGCGGAGAGAAGGGGCATTTCGCCAGAGATTGCCCTAAGCCAAAGAAGAGCGACGACAAGGGAGCACCGAAGGCCAAGGCGAAGAGCGCAGCGAGTGCCACGCAAGTTTCGATGGTTTTGTTGGAGCTTGTTCCACCACAGAGTGTGCTGAAGCTTGTGCTTGGTCGAACCCAGGATTTCGAGCATGAGAGTCGATCCCTTTGCCTTGGAGGACGTGTTGAAGAGCATGGTCGGGAACCACGGCACGATCAGGGAGTTTTTCTACAACAGCATCATGGGCATGATTGTTTTCTTGAACCACGGCATGATCACGGAGTTTTTCGCCAACAGCAACACTTGCATGATCGTTTTCTTGAACCACAACAACAGCATGAAGTTGGTCGGTTGGCAGCTTTGCGTCGGCATGTGCAATTTGAGAACCAGCATGTCGGTGACGAGGGCGAGTTTGAGCATGGACAGTTGTTTCCACAGCATGTTGTCGACCAGGTTAGCATGATTGGGGCCTCCACGTTTTCCTTTGAAGACCAGCAGGCTTGGTTGATAGACTCTGGGGCCTCAAGTCACTTGGTTGGTGAGGGCATGTTGTCCAGCGGCCATGTGCAGATCCTGGAGGAGCACGCTGTGAGTGTTCAGTGCAGTCTTGCGTCAGGTGAGCCGATCACTTTGCGTAGGAAAGTTGATTTAAAGGTTTTCTTCGTGACAGTCGAGGGAAGCCTAGTGAGTGCACGCCTCTCCGCTCTTGTTGCTGCTGATTGCTCGCATGCCATCTTGTCCACAGGCCAAATGGCCCAACGTGGGTGGCAAGTTGCTATAAATGCTGACGGTGTCAACGTGAATCTAGATACTAGTGACGGCAAGCATGTTGTGCTAGGGACTTGCATCTACGGTAACGTCGGTTGGTGCTACTCGGTGCCCTGTGAGCCTCGACATGGACGTGGACTGGGGAGGAGCTTCCAACGACGAGCTGGAGGCGACCCCGGACCCGGAGGAGCCAGTGGAGAGCCAGGCGGGCGTGGCCCCGCAGGTCCTGGCACAGAGCCAGGCGGGTGTGACCCCGCAGGGCCCAGCACAGACTCTGCTGAGCAGTTTCGCCGGGCAGATCGTGAACAGGACCTGGAGCGTTGTGACTTCACGGTCGACGAGCAGCGACTCAGATTCTCCACAGAAGCCGTCAGAGAGCCCGCGGACCACAGGGAGACGCCACAGCCGACGGATCAGAAGGAGACGCCGCAGCCGGAGACCGAGACCCCCTGGATAGCGAAGGAGACGGCCGATGTGGCCGAGGAGATCGAAGGGCCCACCGAGTCCCTCACTGCGGAAAAGCCACCAGAGGTCCGAGTTCCCAAGAGCAAGCCGCGTCCGAAGCCACCCGTGCTGCCGTATCCGACAAGGTCAGTGACGGGACCGGGCCAGGAGGTGTCCCAGACGGGGGCCACGAGCTCAAGGGAGCCAGAAGAGATGAAGGAGACGGAGGGTTGGGGCCTTCGCGGTCTTCCTCTGCCACGGCCCCCACCAAGGGTGATCCTCCGCGAGCGCCTCGTGAACTTGAATGTGCCGGCGGAGGTGCCTTGTCAGGCGGAGATGAGTCAGAGCAGCCGCCCAGGGCCGAGGTTGCCGACCCCGCCGCGGGTTCCGAAGCGGAGATCGAGGTCGCCGTTGGGGAGAAGCCGTCACCGTTGAGTGTAGGTTCCCGGGACGTTTTGGATGATGGAAAAAGTGGGCCGAGCGATTGCTGGTGGGTTGCCACCGACAAGGAAGCGCTAGGTAACTTCAGCATGTTCGAGCATGAGCTGCGGTCGCATTTGCCTTTTAGCAGTTCCTGTGAAGTTTGCTTGAGAGCGCGAGGGTTGAAGCCAGCCTTACGGAGGAGCCAGGTGCACGAGCACGAGGTTCAACTCGACCAGTTTTGGCATGGCTCTTTGCGTTTTCTCATCATGGTGCACTCTAGGTCTTTTGCCATTGGCTGTGTGAGCGGTGATCTGACCAGAGAGTTGATGGTTGCAGGCATGTCACAGTGGATGATGCATTTTGGGCTTGCCAATAAAAGTTGCTTGTTCACCTGCGATGCTGAAGGGTATATGAGAGTTTTGTGGCAAACCATGTTGGAGAGTTTTCCTGTGTACCAAGGAACCATTGAACAGTTTGCCGCAGGTCGTCATGCGCCAGTTGCAGAGCGTGCTGTGAGGGCTTTGCGAGAGACTGTCAGTGGTGTTTTGATTCAGATGCAGGACAAAGGCGTGGGTTTGAGGAACAATCGGAAAGCCTTCAGCTTTGTGTTTCAACATGGTTGCCATTGCCACAACAGGTACAACTTGTTGTCTGGATCAGCCTTGACCCCTCTACAAAGGCTGAGAAAGGAACCAGCACAAGCCCCACCAGGCCAATGTGTTCGGTAGTACCATTCTACTCTCGGGCCCACCTAGCAAAGCCGCTTCTCTGCCGGGGCGATACACCTATGGAGCCTACCTGGGGCCTGTCTTAGGAAAGGCCTCCCATTGGGCCACCATGCAAGTTAAGCCTGGAACCGTCGAGGTGGTGCAGACGCCAGCTGTGAAAGCCCTGTTGCCAACGAGGTACGATCTTGAGTTGCTTGGCATGCTTGCGAAGAGAGTTGGTAGCATGGTGCATCGGTTGCCTAAGTTGCCAGAGCTTGAGCATGTTGATGATGAGTTGACCGTGTTGCCGTTGAGCTTGACTGAAGATGGCAATCCCCCCAAAGAGTGGTTGCTTGAGCATGGTCGCACGCGTCGTTGCCGAGCTTGTGAGCGTGGGTTGTTTCGTGGCGTGAAGCATTCTGTGACTTGCAGGAAGCGCTATCGTGCATGGGTTGAGGAGATGAAGGAAGGAAGCCCAGAGCCTCCTGCGAGACAAGGAGGAGAGTCTGTTGAGGATGTTGTTCCGGATCCCGTTGGAGTTGATGATGATGATCCCGTGGTCGAGGTCGAACTTCCCGATGATTATGATGAGGTGACCGTTGCTGAGCCTTGGTTGCCCACAGTTGAAGAGTACTTGCCAGAAACCGAGGCACAAGGACCCGAGGAGAGCGAGGACCAGGCAGAAGGCCGGGGCAACGACCCACATGGAGCCGGGGGCATTGGTGATGTGTCGGATCTCGGTGATGTGCCAATGGATGTGGATGCTTGTTGGTCGGTACCGTCCTATGATGCCTTGGATTGTATTCCACTTGAGGTTGCTGAGGACTTTGCCGTTGGAGTGCAGTGCAGAGTGAGCGTGTTTTCGAGCGTTGAGGATGACGGTTGGTCGGAACTTAGAATGGGAGATAGGCTCGTGTACTTGCAGAAGCCGAGTTTTGTACGCGACGACGCCACCGACAAACCCCTCGAACCGGGAAAGGCAGCTGAAGGGATGCGAAAGGAAATTCGTGCCCTCGATACGCT